AAGTCGTAGAGGCAGTCCGGAAGGGAGTAAAAGTAGGGGACACGGAAACGTCGGTTTCAGGAATGCTGTTTGCGGATGATTTTGTCGGTATGTCGGACACCCCTGAGGGACTGCAACTGCAAATTGACACGGCAAAGAAATTTACTGATAAGTGGAGATTGTCTGCCATCGTTACGAAGAGTGCCGTCATGGTGTGCAACGAGAACAAGGAGGAACCAGTAGGACATAGATGGAAGTGGGGGATCGAGGAGATTGCAGTAGTGGACAAGTACACATACCTTGGAGTAGAGATCGCAAAAGATTGCTCGTGGAATACACACATGTCCAAGGTAGCGGAAAAGGGCAAAGCACGAGCAGGGAAGCTGCACCCAATACTCGCAAACCGGCACCTCGATACACGCATCAAATTGACGGTTTTGAAGAGCGTAATCGTACCGCCGCTAGAGTACGCCGGAGAAGTATGGGAAGGAAATAAGAAGGTAGTGAAAGAACTCGAGGCGGCGCAGATGAAAGCAGCGAAAACCATCCTAGGATGCTCCAGGCGCACAAGTAATGCAGCCGTCAGGGCAGAATTGGGGATCCAATCCCTACGGTCGGGAAGAGACGCGAGGAAGCTGACCTGGCAGTATCGCATGTGCGGGATGGGAGAGGAGAGGTTGCCGAGGATTGTATGGGAGGCGAAGTGGGCAAACAAAAAGAGGGGTAGACAACCCACGGAATGGGTCAAGGTTGTAGAGGACGTATGGAAGGGGCTCGACATCGACGAAGCTGGAAACGGAGGGTCTAAAGGGGTTCAAGGAGAAGATATCTGTTGCTTTTGCCGAGAGAGAAGAACGAAATCTGAGGAAAGAATCCAAGGATGAGGAAGGTCTAGAAGTGTACGGAATGCTGAAGGAAGGAATAGGGTTCAAGGATTACCTACATGGACCAATTAATGCAGGGACAAAGCTTAAGGTCAAATTCAGGACCGGGGACATCGGCCTTCGAGAACGTCGACGAAGACATAGGACGGTAGACGACGAAGACGACGAGTTCAAATGTGATTGCGGCTTCGAATGCGAAGACCGTGTTCATGTAGTCGCAGAATGTCCGTGGTACAAGAAGGGGAGGGAAGTGTACGTGACTGAGCTGGGAAAAATAGATGGGACGTACAGGGAGATGTTTGAGGCATGGAATAGAAAGGCAAGGCCGGTAGCTGTACTGGGGTATAGGAGGTGGGTTGAAAGGCGGGAAGGGATATCGTTAGGATAGACAGACTAGGGAAGACATTTTTGAGCCGCCTTTGGCAAAGTAGAAAGGAATGATTGGCCATCGGTGATCGGTCCTGTGGGAACAATGCTCCGTCCTCTTGAGGACGCGTGGTCAATGGTCTAACCGCTAAGGCATGCAAAACATAAGAGTACGCCCCCTCCCCCCCCTCCTGTACATTTTTCTCCCCTCCTCCCCGTCTCTGAAACTCCTATTTTTTGAAAACTGAGGTCCCTCGTGGACGGAGTTTTCGACGCGCTTTGCTCTCACCTGGAGCGGGGTCACGAGCAGCTTGGGCGGTTGGAAAAGAAGATGGAGAAGGACCGCCTGACGAACGGCACCCTGACGGAGGAGAAGGAGAGAAACTTGGAGGAGAGCCGGAAGGGCTACGAGGCGTTGCTGGGAAACGTTACCTCTCTGGCGTCATCTCTCAATAGGTACTGTTCGTTTGGTGTGCGTGTTTTTATTTATTATCGGCCCCTTCAATCGGCCTTGCAAAAGCCGGCGTTGTCATGTAGTGGGGGCGAAGTGGGCGTCTATGTGCTGTTGGTGTTTGCAGTTTACAGGGGACTTGGGTGTCGCGGTGTGGGGTTCCATGAGTACCTGGCCCGGATGTGCGACACGGTACATACTGATGGCAGCTGACGGTGGTTGTTTTACTTGCGGACGATAGCATACCAGCATGCAGCGGTGGTGTTCGGGGCGTACCGGAGAGGGCTAGGGTTAGGAGTATAGGTCGAAGTCGCAAGACCGTGAGTTGCCGCACCTGTGTCTTCCGCCAGAGCAACGCCTGCCGAATCAACCCCGACGAACCACGCTTACAGAAACCCCCAAGGTTTTGGCGAGAAAAACGCAGAAGCCGGGTTCCGGTCGAGATCCTTCCATGCTGGTACAGGCGTAGTTTTTGTCAGGTTGATGGAGGCTTCGGTCGACCGGTATGGAAACGTCGCGGCAGCGGCACCGGGTGTGCGTTCACTATCCGTACAGACAGCGAGTGGAGTTCATCTCGGGGAGAATGATACGCTACACGAGAGGGTGTTCCTAGCATGTTTAGAGGCGTGTGTCCGTTTCTTCCTCTTCCTGTGTGGTGGTGCTCACAGCAGTCTGGACTCAGTCCCTGCACACCGTGGCCACAACCCAGCGCCACCAGGAAGACTTGAGCGTTTTTTTTCTCATACTTGGTTGTGTTCGTCTTGCGATGAATCGCCGCCGCCTCCAGGGACATGCCGCAACTACCCGAGCACGAAACGGAGGAGGAGGGTTCCGGAGGCATCAGCCTGTGGGAAGGCGGCGTGGGCGGAGACGGCACGGGCTACACCGGGCCGTTCGAGGAGTCGGAGAGGTGAGGGGGGGGCTACGCGCGCGCGCTCCCCGGGGGGGAGGGTGTCTGTGTTGCCTGCCTCACTTTGTTAGGTGGTCTTCTTTAGTCCCCTTATTGTTGAGCTGTGGTGTGTGAATGAATTGTTGACGAGTCGGAGAAGTGAGGGAGTGTGCACGCGCGCGCGCCAGGGGGGATGGGGGGGGGACTCTTGTGCGCCCCTCCTTTGTTGCGTGCATTACTTTGCTGGAGGGCCTTGTTTAGTCCCCTTGGTGCTGAGCTTGTCAATCAACTGTCCTCGAGCTTGTTATACAGTAGATAATATCGTAGTTTTGGAGCTCGTCGTTCCCGTATTTCCATGGCATTCGAGCTCATCAGACCGCACAACCATGGTCATAGAGCTTGTCATACCACACGCCCAGGCCTTCCAGTTTGTCACGCCGTATAACCATGGCGTTCTCACCGTGCCCAATCTATCATCGTCCCTTCCTGCGCAGCGCGTACTGCCACGAGTAATCGCGCCCCTCGGTTTCCGCCCGCGCCCCCCACTGGCTACACCCAGGTCCTTCTACGAAGATCTCCCGGATCTCCTCAACACCGTGCCCCCGAACCTTTTGGGCCTGACGGAGGAGCAGGCGGAGCAGCTCAGGGAGGAGGAGAGGAGGCTGCAAAAGGAGAGGAGCGCCGCCGACGCCCGTGATGCCGAAGGTGAGGGAGGAGGAGAAGAAGCGGAGGCGGAAGAGGAAGAGGACAAGACGCTCGTCGAGGAGATGAAGCGGCTGGAGGCCGTTGCGGAGGAGGGAGAGGAAGAGGGGGCGGGTACCGATGATGAGGTGAGAGAGCGCTCTTGTTTACCC